TCGACACATCGGACACACCTCAGACGTGGGAAACAGCAACCCATGGAAGCTTTGCGTGCCTCGGGAGCAGAGACAACGAGTGCTGGAGGAATGCTACGACCACCCTTCTGCTGGTCACCTGGGCATCCGGAAGACTCGCAGACGGATTGCCCAACGATATTTCTGGCCGGGATTACATTGAGACGTTGTGCGGTACGTCACCAGCTGCTTGGTTTGCCAACAATACAAGGTGAGTCAACGCAAACCGGCGGGCAAAATGTTCACCCGCCATCCCACGGAGCCATTCGCGCTCGGACCCGACGAGGGAATACCATGCTGCTCGTATTTATAGATGTCTTTTCCAAATGGGTCGAGATCATCTCCCTAAAGAAGGCCACAGCCGCCCAACTGGAGTTTGGATTTCGGGAAAGGATAATATCCCGCTTTGGAGCACCCAGGACTTTGATCTGCGACAACGGAACGCAGTTCACCAGCCGCGGTTTCAAGACATTCTGTCGCACTAATGGCATCAAACTGGAATACACAGCTCCCTATTCCCCGCAGCAGAACCCCACCGAACGGGCAAACCGGACCATCAAGAGAATGATAGCCCAGTACGTGGACCAGGATCACAGGACATGGGATCAGCTACTGTCAGAGATCTCGCTGGCCATAAACACGAGCATCTCAGATAGCACCGGTTTCAGCCCCGCCTATCTGGTGCAGGGTAGGGAACCAAGATTGCCAGGAGCCCTCTTTGATGTGGTCACGCCTAGTCTACACTCGTCGCCGTTGGACCCCACTGAGCGAGCTAAACGACTTCAGGAAGCTTTCCGCACTGCGCTGGAAACCAACCAGATGGCTTCTCAGGAACAACGCCGCCACTACAATTTGCGACGTCACGAGTGGAGACCCCAGCTCGGATCACAGGTTATGGTCCGCCTTCACCACCTGTCAAAGGCCAGCGAAGGCTTTAACGCGAAGCTTGCTCCTAAGTACTCGGGGCCATTTAAGGTGCTGAAGTTCCTCTCCCCGAATATCGTCGGGATACAACATATGGAAACAGGAAGAGGCGAACAGCAGGAGTAGGCGACCTGAAGGAGTACCACCAACGCAGTGACCAACTAGGGGACCCGGAAGAAGCCACCGGAGAGAGCGCGTGCCCAACATAAGGGAGTCGACGAATGTACCCAAAGCATCGCAGTAATAACTTTAGTAGAAAACTAGGTTAAGCTGAGAGTTGTACCCACTAGATAAGTCGATCCTCGCACTCAGGCAGGGCAAGTAAGGAACGTAGGCCTATGGTAATTTTCTAGCAATTTACAGATCGGATCTACAGCAACAGGATGGAGCCATTCTACCCAAACTTCGTCGCAGGGGTCTACCAACCGGTCGACCACCATGACTCGGACATAGATACCAACGACGGCGCACCCCCCAGCCGGGACTCGGCCCTGTCAGACCGGAGCCCCACACCACCCAGCTTCAGCCCAATCCTCAGCCTCCAGTAAGCTCGTAACGGCGACTCCATCTCCACCGTGCCGTGGTCGCCGGCCGCAAGCATCGCAGTTAGCGGCGAGCCACCTGCGGCGTTTGCAGCTGGAGCATCGGGGGACGAGCGAGGAACCGGACCTGCAATTATTCCTCAGCGGGGAAGAGGAGGAGGAGGTCCTGCAAGCCCTCCGGGAGTGTCCAGACGCTGGACAAGTCATGGAGGAGGCCCAGTGGATCGTCGCCCCAGTCGCCTGGAGGGTAGACACCCACCAGCGACGACTGCCAACAGCCCTAGTCGCATCCATCCAGGAGCAGGATCGACGGAGGGTGCGCTACCTGCGCCAGATCGAGGGTCATCGGTTCCGAGTCACCATCACCGCCGGGCGGGAGGTGATCGTTTCCCTCCGCCATAATCACGCCGAAGAAAGGCGGGGGTGTGAGGATGCGTGAAACACACCCTCCACATTTCGCCACTTTTATTCTTTCCGCCACGAAGGCATACAATTGGATGTTACAGCACGACGGCCATTTATTTATAAGTTATAAGCATAAGTTAGCCATAAGTCGTTACGCCACGAAGGCAATTTATTTAAGTTCAAACTAGAAGCTAAGCTTATCAGATTTAAATATCGCGCGCACTAGGGCTGGAAAACCACCCAGTGTTGATCAACCGAGGGCCAACAGCTGATAGTGCCGATAGCGATAGGCGGAGGATCGATATGAAACTGTGTTGGGAAACGAAAAAGCCCGGAAAACCGAGCTCACATGCGGCCGCAAGGGCGGAAGCTCACTCTCATTCCCGAATGGCAGAAAAGGCGACCAGACCTAGGAGCGGACTTCAACCCGGAGTGGCACAGCGGCACGAGCGTCGGCACGCCAGATCCAAGGAGTAAGTGGGACACAGACAATAGAGATCAGACTGAGTGCAAGTAGGGGACTAGGAAAATAACTTGTGAAACTAGCGAATAATAAAGATAAAAGAGAATGAAGAAGTATGTGTCCGCGTGAATTTGTGCATTTTTCGGGAACCCACGTGCAGTGATTTGTGCCGGTCGGGAATCGTGTTGCATTAGAGAAGCTTGCTCGGTGCAAACGACCACCCGATCGCCTACAAGGAGCATAGGAAAGGATCGCCTCTGGCCACCCTCTCCTGGAAACCCCGCCCCAAATACGGTTTAGGTAGTCGCGAGCCACGTGCAGTGATCTGTGCCGGTCGGGAATCGTGTGGCGCCAGAGACGATTACTCAGTGCAAACGACCACTCGATCGACCACAGGGAGCACAGGGAAGGGTCGCCTCCGGCCATCCTCCCCTCGGATCCCTACCCACTACCCCAGTAGCTTGTGAGTCGCACATCCAGGGGGAACGGCCACGCCGTACAGCTTTGTTGGTATTTTCTTTATCCGGGATCGGCGCCGCCGTTCGGTTTTGTTGGTATTCTCTCAGGGATCGGCCACGCTGCTCGTTTCGCTAGTATTTTCGCCGGGAGCAGCCTCGCCCTCCACTATACCTTTCGGGTGGCGTGTTGCGCTAGAGCCGCTTACTCGGTGCAATGCGGATACCCTGGCCTCTTTTCCCCGCAAATCCCCGCGGCAACTCCCCGTCCAGTTTCGTTCCTATATTTTTCTACAAATTTAACTGAAGAGGACCCTGGCCGGACTGAGTTTTATCCCAGCCTATGAAAAAGGTCTTTACAGGGTAGAGACGGAGAGGCCACTCCAGAAGCTGTACATCGATTTCCTGGGCAAGTATCCGAGGTCCAAGAGTGGACACGCCTGGATATTTATCGTGGTGGACCACTTCTCGAAGTACACCTTCTTAAAGGCGATGAAGGAGGCGACGGCGTCGAACGTTGTAAATTTCCTGGTAAAAGAGGTATTTTACAAGTTCGGGGTGCCTGAGACGATACATTCGGACAACGGCAAACAGTTCGTATCCAAGGCGTTTGAGGAGATGATCGATGGCTTCGGTATACAGCACATGAGGACTCCCGTATACTCACCACAGAGCAATGCCGCGGAGAGGGTAAACCGGAACGTCTTGGCCGCAATTCGCAGCTTCTTCGACGAAGATCACCGGGAATGGGATGCACATTTGCCGGAGATTGAGGTGGCTATCCGAAACACTGTCCACTCAGCCACAGGGGAAGCGCCGTTCTTCACTGTATTCGGCCATCACATGTTCCTCAACGGTTCCAGCTACAAACTAGCCAGACGACTCAGGTCTCTGGTCGACCATGAAATGGCCGGAATGCAGACCAAGGACAAGCTTCTAGTTATCCACGCCAAGGTGCAGAAGCAACTGGAGGGTGCATACCAGACGAGCCGGCAGCGCTACGATAAGCGAGCCCGTACGCTGCTCGCCAAGCCAAGCCAAGAAGTCTTCCGCCGCAACTTCGTGCTGAGTGATTTCAGCAAGTCTTTTAACGCCAAGTTTGCTCGCAAGTTCCTTTAAGCCAGGGTGGTCAAATCCGTCGGCAGCAATGCATACATACTGGAGGATCTCCAAGGCCGCAGTCTGGGAGTGTATCATGCCAAAGACATCCGGTTGTGACCTGAAAGAAGGACAAAACAAAGTATACGAGCATCGCGATCACATCTGCAATACTTCCCGTCATGCGTGGGCCCCGCGTTAGGCGCCGATCGAACTGCAGGATGGTATCAGTGCCGTGTTGAATCCCATCGTATCTCCAAAGCTACCAATTATTTCATCGTTCTGCTGAAACTCCGGGCAGCGCCCCTCGAAACCTTTGGTTGATGTTGCAATTGGAGTCGAGTGGGAGCGACGTTATCGATAGGTTAGGTCGATAGGGCGATAGCTGCAGCAGCGGGATGAGTCTGGCGGGCGATCTGGCCATTTGAAGATTAATCCCGGTTCGCTCTGGGATTACTTCAAATGGCCCATGTATCCAATGACCCAATGTTGAGAGAGGCCATGTAATATGACGGGGGGCGATGATCAGAAGATATCGTGATAGTCGCGGCCATACTGTACAACGATCAAGGCAGATGCAGCTAGGAGTGACAGTATAAATTTTCTTTGTGCTTTAAATTAAATAGTGAGTTATGTTAAAGTTCTATAGTAGTTCGGTATTTAATATTTATCATTTATAAAGGCAGCCGGGGTCCCAATACAAAGGGCCCCGGAAGAATTTATTTGGAGTTTTACCGACATCGCCATACTTCGCCATACCTACCAGCCCGACTTGGCTGCCCAGCAACCGGTGTCCGTTCGACCCGGGCCAACGACCATCCAGAAAGGCCTTCCACAGTCGACGCCGACGACGTCAACATTTCCCGGTGAGTCCGTTCCGGCGTACCGCGTCCTCCTCATCTCGGGAACTTCCAGCGGTCGCATTGCAGCGCTGAGAAGTATCGCCATTTTGTCTGGCAGCCGAATCTCGGACTGCCCTTACACAACTCACCGTAGAGCGCCGTTTTCCCGTGTGGAGATCCGTATCGCTGCTGGCCTCCGGCGGAAAGTCATCAGCCCGGGCTATCCTCGCCTCCAGGCCCGGCCTGACGGTGGCTGAAATTTACGAGAAATTAAATACACGTGTACCTCGATCATATATATTGATATCTACTTACCTGTTTGTGAGTTTATCCGGAGTTAGACCCGAGAGCCTTATTTGTCCTCGTTGTTTGCCTAAAATTAAAAAGGTCGCGAGCATTAGTTAAATGGTATAGCTTACAGTGCAGTTACGTACCTTTTTGGCCTGTCCCTTCTTTTCCCCTGGAGCTCCTCAGGATTAGGTGACCCTTTGAGGGCCGCGTTTCCATGCGAGCTCTACCAATACATGGCTGGTAGAGCATAATTTCCGCGGCGCCTGTACCCTTTTCCTACAAAACGAATCCTCTGCTTTGACCGCGTAAATATTTGAGACGGCGGCCAGGTTTCTGTCTTAAAGGCTGAGGAAGGATAAATCTGTCAAGAGGAGCATGTCTATAAACGATTGTACTTACGATATTTATTAAACCTTTGTAATACCCACTATGTGTGAGTAAGTTTTCCCAATGAGGGAGATGGAACAGTAGCCGTAGTCGCGAGGAGGGGGCTCCTGCCGACTGCGAATGGGTGGTGCCCTGCAGCATCTTGAGGGCATCCATGGATGGGTGGGAGCGCTTGGCTAGGACATCGATAGCCACTAAATGTAATCCATTTTTTCGTCAATATTTGTAGAATTTTGCTTTGTTTACGTTTTTGTTGTCATTAGTGATGACCGATAGTTTAGTAATGTGAGACCGTGAAGTATCGATATTTATGTTGCGAGCTGTGGCATTAGGGGTACTCTGCCCTGAGGAACGACTGAGCTAGCGGCACTGCCACCGAAAAAAAGCAGTTCGTAACATATTGGCGCCAATTTAAACATAATAAATTGTCGAGGCGACGACGTCTCGCCCATTTATGACCCTGACGCCCCCGCCATCACGACCTATGGCTTGCAACATATATTGCAATTGCTAGGGAGTGGTGACGGGGAAGTCAGCTGAGTAGGGAAGTTGGAAGTAGAACGGGAGGCGGGTCGGCGGACATTGCCGACGATTTGCTCCTGGTCACAGGTTTACCAGTGAACCGGTGATGGCATCTTGGAGCAAACTAAGATTTGCATCACGGGATGCACTAATAGAAAATCTGTGATAAGATCTGTGATAGAGTAGTTTTAAAGCTTGTATTTTGTTATTTATTTATTTGAAATGTTTTTTTGTTAGGATGTTGGGTTCCTGGGTTTTTCTCCCCGTCCTGGATTTCTAATTTTATGTCGGTTGTAAACTTAATTGCGTAATCGTGACCCGTAGCAACCCTACGCGCTGCACGGTTGCCTCGACTTAAGATAGAAAAAGAGGGCGGGAAAGAAAAGCCAACAGGAGCCAAACCAGCCGTTGTCGTTAACTGGCAGCTATCACCACGAGTGATAGCTAGTCCAGTTGAAGAACGGCTAGGCGGAGACGGGAAAATAGGATTTTTGGAGAAAGCGCAAAACAAGTAGGTCGTAAGCCCACCGGCGAGGGGCAGTTCCATCTCCCCAAGTCAAGAGTAGCAGGAAGAAAAAAATAATTGAAAAAATAGGAGACTTTGAAAGGTGTTGGAAAGTGAGGAAGATTGGTTTTTTGTTATTTATTTTTGCTATTAGTTATTTTCGTATTTATTTAGATATTTATTATATTATTTATTATTGTATTTTCTTGTTGTCTTATTTATTTATTTGTTCATCATATTTTTTATCGTATTAGTAGCTATTAAGTATTTATTTAAAAATTCTTGGGAAGTATGTCCGAGGGTAGGGACGTCAGGGATAGGCACGGCCACCAGCTCAGATCGATGGGTCCTCCTGGCGACGACAAGGACGATGTTTGGTCCACGGACGTAGAGGGTGCCGCTGGGTTGCCGCGGATATCGCTGGCTGGGGGTTTACCCAGAACGCCGGTAGGCGGCAGTGCGGGGGATCAACCGGCGGATCTGGAGCACCACCGGTCGCCCAGGGTCCTGGACTTCAAGGCAATCGTCGAGGCGCACGATCGACTTCTGGTTCCGGAGCAGACGGCACCACAAAAGCTGAACACGGAACGGGATACAGCGGCGGAGTCGGCGATGAACGCAGCTCTGGCACAGGCTGCCCAAACCTATCGCGCATCACAGGAGTTAGGAGTGAGCCAGGCGTTGCGGAAAGAAATCAAGAACGGATTCGTCGACATGATGAAGTTGTTGAACGACGTCCTGAGGCCAGCCGAGAGCAAGCCGCAGCCGCTTCAGGAGGGCGCGAGTCGCCAAGTGTCGATGGTGCCCACCCCGTCGTGTCCAGAAGGCGGCGCAAATGGCCCAGCGGGGATTCAGCAGCGGCAGGATACAGGAGGATGCGACCGAAGGCCACCGGAACTGCCGCCCAGGCAGCGACCTCGACTGCCGGTAAATGACTCGCCAGGGATCGACAGCAGCCTGAGCCAGGAACCGGAGAACCATGGCGCATCGAGGACCGAAGGACGGCGGATTTTCGGGACGAGCCGCGGTTATACGCCAACGCGGGAGCCGGCAACGGAAACCGCTACATCCGAGTGGACCGCTGGAACCTCTCATTCGGCGGCGAGGACGATGGCCATTCCGTGGACGACTTCGTGTTCCGTCTGGAGCTCCTGCAGCGGCAGCATCAACGTCCGTGGAGTGAAGTTCTGCGCAACTTCCACGTTCTCTTATCGAGCAGAGCGAAGGAGTGGTACTGGGTACATGTACGCCAGTCCAGAGTGGACACTTGGGCCCAGCTGCGCAGGGCTCTGATGGATCGGTTCCGTGGCCACCAGACGGAACACGAAAGGATGCACGAGCTTCTTCAACGTGAGCAACAGCCGGGAGAGAGCGCGGATGACTACATCCATGCGATGCAGCAACTCGCCTCACGCCTAAAAAAACCAATGCCAGAGCGGCAGTTGGTGAAGGTGGTCAAAAAGGGCTTGAGGGACGGCATCGCTAGGTATGTTTACGCGATGGACGTACTCACGGTAGACGAACTTCGGGAGGAGTGCGTCGAAGTAGAGAGGAGTTTCGGTCGTCGAGGGCGTGCTACTTACCTGCAGCAGAACACGGATTCCAAGATTGCGAGGCCACGGAGTGGAGGAGATTTTGTTTCCGGTGCGGCAAGCTGGGCGTGATTTCTCTAAAATGTCCCGATTGCGCGGAAAACGGTCGGCTGGGCAGTCCGAAAGCGGGAGGGACTCGCCCAGGTTGGAATCCCGCGAAGTAGTTCCGAAGAAAGAAGACGAAAACAAGAATATACATAGTCCATCTGATAGTCATAAGTACTTGCTAAGATACCTGCCGGAGGATGAGAGGCTTCGCCGTTATATGGAACGGAACGGATTTTTGCGGAGCATCAGCTGAGCGGCATGCGTCTAGTCTCACGGAGAGTCCAGAAGGCAAGGGAGCGCTTCAGGATGAGGAGATCCAGACGACGAGAGGTGGTGGCGGCCGTTAAACGCATAGATGCCGCTGATCCTAGACCCTTCGCCGACGTGGAGACCTTGGGCAAGCAGCTCACCGGCTTGTTGGATACAGGCGCCAGCGTAAGTGTGCTGGGCAAAGGCTGTCGAGAGCTCGTGGAAGCGCTGGGAGTTACCGTCCAACCGTATTTTTCGGTAGTCCGTACGGCTTCTGGCGAAGATCGATCCAACATCGGACGCTTGGAGCTGCCTGTGAGGTACAAAGGCGTAAGTAAGCCGGTCACGTTCTAATAAACGGCGTACTTCGGAGTCGACTTCTTGCGAGCCTTCGGACTAGCTCCAGCCGTCGTGGGGAAGCTGGCGACGAGAGGCGTCAAGGCAGCGGAGGAAATCCATGCCAGCCAGATGGAGCACTATGCCGACCAGGAAGATGAGGACGAGGTAAGGGAGGAACCCGAATCCTGGAGCCTTTCTGCGGAGGAAAAGCTGGCGTTAGGCAAGGTCAAGGAGGAGTTCCTTACCTTTGAAAGGGACGGCCTCGGAGTCACCAGCATGGAGAGGCATTCCATTGAGCTGATGGAAGGAGCTCGGGTCTTTAAGGATCGTCCGTATCCGATGTCTCCGGCGAAGCAGAAGGTGGTCGAAGACGAAATCGACAAGATGTTGGAGCTGGGTGTCATCGAGGAGAGCAAAAGCACGTGGAGCAATCGCACAACAGTGGTGTCGAAGCCAGGGAAAGACCGATTCTGCCTGGATGCCCGGAAGTTGAACGCCTTGACTATCAAGGATGCATACCCTTTGCCCAGTATAGAAGGAATACTCTCCAGAATAGATCAGACGCATTACATCTCCAGCGTTGACCTGAAGTTTGCGTTTTGGCAGATCGAACTGGATGAGAAAAGCAAGGAGTACACTGCGTTCACGGTTCCAGGCAGGCCGTTGTACCAGTTCCGAATGATGCCGTTCGGACTGTGCAACGCGGCACAACGCTTGGTGCGACTCATGGATTGGGTGATACCAGCGGAGCTCAGATCCAACGTCTTCGTCTACTTGGACGACCTGCTAATCCTGGCTCCAGATTTTCAGACGCACCTGAAATACTTGCGTCGGATAGCCCACAGTCTGAAATCAGCCGGATTGACCATAGGGTTAAAGAAGTCGAAGTTTTGCTTCAAATCTTTGACTTACCTAGGGTTTATAGTCGGAGGTGGACTGCTGCGGATGGATCCTGGACGTGTTACGGCAATCCAGAAGATGCCTTACCCGAAATCTATGAAGGAAGTACGTGCCTTCCTCGGCACAGCGGGATGGTATCGACGGTTCGTCAAGAACTTCGCTACGCTAGCCGCACCACTCTCCGAGTCCTTGAAGAAGGCTGGAAACACAAAGTTTTCCCTAAGTCCCAGCGCCACCCAGGCAGTGGATGACCTGAAGTTGGCCTTGACGAGCGCGCCGGTCCTGGTTCATGCGGATTTCAAGAAGCATTTCTTCATCCAGTGCGACGCATCCCACGTTGGCGTCGCCGCGGTATTGTTTCAGCGGAACCAGGACGGAGACGAGCAGCCCATCGCGTTCTTCTCGGCCAAGATGAACAAACACCAGGTTAACTACTCGGTCACGGAAAAGGAATGTCTGGCGGCCATCCTAGCTATTCGGAAGTTCAGACCGTATGTGGAAGGGATGCCCTTCACATGCATTACCGATCACGCCAGCCTTAAGTGGTTGATAACCATGAAGGATCTGTCCGGACGACTCGCAAGGTGGTCTCTCCAGCTGCAGGGCTACGATTTCAGCATTGAACATCGTAAAGGCAGCGAGAATGTAGTCGCCGACACTCTGTCCCGCATCATAGAGGAAGTCCGGAAAAATCCAACGGTGTTACTGGGATTCGAGACGACCGAATTAGCTGCGGAGGATTATACGGAGTTAGTACAAGACGTGGAATCCAATAAGGAGCACTTACCGGACCTCAAAGTGGACGGTGGACTAATCTTCAAGCGCATGAAGAATCCGAAAATGGACGAGGACCTGGAGGGATCCGAATGGAAGCTGTGGATCTCGCAAAGCCTGACGCACAGCTTGGTAGAGCGTGCTCATTCGGACCCCAAGGCTGGCCATGGTGGGATGACGAAGACCTTGGAGATCCTGCGACGCCAGTTCTAATGGCCAGGGATGACCATCCAGGTACGGGAATACGTCCGGAGTTGCGAGGTGTGCAAGGAATCCAAAGCGCCAAACTTCCGGATGCAGGTCTTAATCGGAAGAAGGGTAGAGACGGAGAGGCCATTCCAGAAGCTGTACATCGATTTCCTGGGCAAGTATCCGAGGTCCAAGAGTGGACACGCCTGGATATTTATCGTGGTGGACCACTTCTCGAAGTACACCTTCTTAAAGGCGATGAAGGAGGCGACGGCGTCGAACGTTGTAAATTTCCTGGTAAAAGAGGTATTTTACAAGTTCGGGGTGCCTGAGACGATACATTCGGACAACGGCAAACAGTTCGTATCCAAGGCGTTTGAGGACATGAGGACTCCCGTATACTCACCACAGAGCAATGCCGCGGAGAGGGTAAACCGGAACGTCTTGGCCGCAATTCGCAGCTTCTTGGACGAAGATCACCGGGAATGGGATGCACATTTGCTGGAGATTGAGGTAGCTATCCGAAACACTGTCCACTCAGCCACAGGGGAAGCGCCGTTCTTCACTGTATTCGGCCATCACATGTTCCTCAACGGTTCCAGCTACAAACTAGCCAGACGACTCAGGTCTCTGGTCGACCATGAAATGGCCGGAATGCAGACCAAGGACAAGCTTCGGGTTATCCACGCCAAGGTGCAGAAGCAACTGGAGGGTGCATACCAGACGAGCCGGCAGCGCTACGATAAGCAGGCCGTACGCTGCTCGCCAAGCCAAGCCAAGAAGTCTTCCGCCGCAACTTCGTGCTGAGTGATTTCAGCAAGTCTTTTAACGCCAAGTTTGCTCGCAAGTTCCTTAAAGCCAGGGTGGTCAAATCCGTCGGCAGCAATGCATACTTACTGGAGGATCTCCAAGGCCGCAGTCTGGGAGTGTATCATGCCAAAGACATCCGGTTGTGACCTGAAAGAAGGACAAAACAAAGTATACGAGCATCGCGATCACATCTGCAATACTTCCCGTCATGCGTGGGCCCCGCGATAGGCGCCGATCGAACTGCAGGATGGTATCAGTGCCGTGTTGAATCCCATCGTATCTCCAAAGCTACCAATTATTTCATCGTTCTGCTGAAACTCCGGGCAGCGCCACTCGAAATCTTTGGTTGATGTTGCAATTGGAGTCGAGTGGGAGCGACGTTATCGATAGGTTAGGTCGATAGGGCGATAGCTGCAGCAGCGGGATGAGTCTGGCGGGCGATCTGGCCATTTGAAGATTAATCCCGGTTCGCTCTGGGATTACTTCAAATGACCCATGTATTCAATGACCCAATGTTGAGAGAGGCCATGTAATATGGCGGGGGGCGATGGTCAGCAGATATCGTGATAGTCACGGCCATACTGTCCAACGATCAAGACAGATGCAGCTAGGAGTGACAGTATAAATTTTCTTTGTGCTTTAAATTAAATAGTGAGTTATGTTAAAGTTCTATAGTAGTTCGGTATTTAATATTTATCATTTATAAAGGCAGCCGGGGTCCCAATACAAAGGGCCCCGGAAGAATTTATTTGGAGTTTTACCGACATCGCCATACTTCGCCATACCTACCAGCTCGACTTGGCTGCCCAGCAACCGGTGTCCGTTCGACCCGGGCCAACGACCATCCAGAAAGGCCTTCCACAGTCGACGCCGACGACGTCAACATTTCCCGGTGAGTCCGTTCCGGCGTACCGCGTCCTCCTCATCTCGGGAACTTCCAGCGGTCGCATTGCGGCGCTGAGAAGTATCGCCATTTTGTCTGGCAGCCGAATCTCGGACTGCCCTTACACAACTCACCGTAGAGCGCCGTTTTCCCGTGTGGAGATCCGTATCGCTGCTGGCCTCCGGCGAAAAGTCATCAGCCCGGGCTATCCTCGCCTCCAGGCCCGGCCCGACGGTGGCTGAAATTTACGAGAAATTAAATACACGTGTACCTCGATCATATATATTGATATCTACTTACCTGTTTGTGAGTTTATCCGGAGTTAGACCCGAGAGCCTTATTTGTCCTCGTTGTTTGCCTAAAATTAAAAAGGTCGCGAGCATTAGTTAAATGGTATAGCTTACAGTGCAGTTACGTACCTTTTTGGCCTGTCCCTTCTTTTCCCCTGGAGCTCCTCAGGATTAGGTGACCCTTTGAGGGCCGCGTTTCCATGCGAGCTCTACCAATACATGGCTGGTAGAGCATAATTTCCGCGGCGCCTGTACCCTTTTCCTGCAAAACGAATCCTCTGCTTTGACCGCGTAAATATCCGAGACGGCGGCCAGGTTTCGGTCTTAAAGGCTGAGGAAGGATAAATCTGTCAAGAGGAGCATGTATATAAACGATTGTACTTACGATATTTATTAAACCTTTGTAATACCCACTATGTGTGAGTAAGTTTTCCCAGTGAGGGAGATGGAACCGTAGCCGTAGTCGCGAGGAGGGGGCTCCTGCCGACTGCGAATGGGTGGTGCCCTGCAGCATCTTGAGGGCATCCATGAATGGGTGGGAGCGCTTGGCTAGGACATCGATAGCCACCAAATGTAAGCCATTTTTCCGTCAATATTTGTAGAATTTTGCTTTGTTTACGTTTTTTTTTTGTCATTAGTGATGACCGATAGTTTAGTAATGTGAGACCGTGAAGTATCGATATTTATGTTGCGAGCTGTGGCATTAGGGGTACTCTGCCCTGAGGAACGACTGAGCTA